GGTCTTTGATTTTGAACTTATCATTGAGAGACACTTTAAGCTTATTGATAGCATCAATACAATTCCCAACAATTATTATATCGTCAACATAAACAAGTATTGTAGTAAAAAATTCACCAGTCGACTTGATAAATAGGCTGTAATCAGCCTTTGATTGAATGTAACCTTGTTCAACAACAAAGTTGGAGAGTTTTGAATACCATTAGCGTGATGCTTGCTTCAAGCCATAGATACTCTTCCGCAATTTACACACTTTGTTTTTATTGCCATTAGAGTAACCAGGGGGTAGTTCCATATAGACATCTTCATCCAATTCTCCATGCAAAAAGGCGTTATTCACATCAAATTGATATAAGTTCCATCCCTTGATGGCTGCAACCGTGAGTAAAGTTCTGATGGTGATCATTTTGGCCATAGGGGAGAATGTTTCATGGTAATCAAGCTCCTTTTGCTGCATGTAACCTTTAGCTACTAATCGTGCTTTGAATCTCTCAACACTGCCATATGCATTGAATTTTACCTTGTAAACGCATTTACACCCTATTGCTTCTTTACCAGGAGGTAGTTTGGCCAAGGTCCAAGTATCATTAAGTTCGAGGGCTTCAATTTCAGCTTTCATGGCAGCACACCATTCAGGAGAGGATAAGGCTTCTTGATAGGTCTTAGGTTCTGTGTGACTTATTATTGTAGTAGCAAAGGCACGGTGATGAATGGATAATTTATTATAGGAAATACTGTCAGTAAGAGGAAAAACATTACCTGTAATCTCAGTTTCCTTCTTGATGTTGAGTTTTTGGAATGGGAGAGGTAAAGATGCCTGTTGACACATGAAATCCTACAAGTGAGAAGGAGCTTTTCGAATTCTGTTGGACCTGCGAGGTAAATGACTGGTGACTGGTGTATTTGATTCTATATTATCAGTGACTGTTTGATCATTAACTGGTTGATCAATGGTCTGATTTGTGTCTTCATGAGAATTGGAGGATTCAGAATGATCATGTTCACCATTATAATTGGTGTTATCAAATGAAGGGATGATGAAATCATTGTTAATGACAGGGTTTTGTGTAAAGCTGAGATGATTGAAGTCAGTTAGGGGTGTATTTTTGTCAAGACTTGTGTTTCTAAAAGGAAAAATACTTTCATGAAAGTCAACATTTCTCGAAATGAAAACCTTATTTGTTTTTAAATCCAGCAACCTATATCCCTTTACTCCGAATGGATAGCCAATAAAGACACATTCCCTAAATTTAGGATCAAATTTGTAAAGACACATTCCCTAGATTTAGGATCAAATTTGTGTCTACCACTTACAAGCGTGGTAGCAAAGGCTAGACAGCCAAAAACTTTCAAATGACCATACTTAGGCTTGATTTTGAATAATATTTCAAAAGGACTTTGATTGTTTAAAACAGGAGTAGGTGTTCGATTTATTAAATATACTACAGTCAGGACAAAGTCATTCCAGAATTTCAGAGGGAGTCCACTTTGAAATTGTAGAGCTCTTGCCACATTCAAAATATGTTGATGTTTTCGTTCCACTATCTCATTTTGTTCAGGTGTTTCAACACAAGTTCTTTGATGTATTATCTCTTTTTTAGAGTAAAAATCAGTCATATTGAACTCCCCTCCATTATCAGTTCTAATGTTTTTAACTCTAGTTTCAAACTGGTTTTCAATTATGGCACAAAAATTCTGCAAAGCTGCGGTGGCATCAGATTTAAAAGAAAGCATGTAAACCCATGTGCATCTACTAAAATCATCGACAATAGATAAAAAATACTTAGAGCCATCTCTACTTAACTCATTACAGGGTTCCCAAATGTCGCAATGGATTAATTCAAAACATTTTCTTGATTTGTGGTGACTGATGTTAAAAGGTAATTTGTGTTGTTTGGCTAGAGGGAAAATAGGGCAATGACTTACACTAGGGAATACACGAATATTTCCCTCAGGAGTGAAATGAGTAACTGAAGAATGGCCTAATCTGTAATGCCACAAAACAGAGTCCTCATTATTATTAACAGGTTTAGAAGTGGAGGACAGACACTTGAATTAATTGAAAGCATTTGATAAAGCCGAGGGTGAGACTTGCTTTTTCACCATGTGGTAGAGTCCACCTTTCACCTCACCCATTCCAGTCGTTCTCCAGCTCGAAAGGTCCTAGATGTAACAGCAATTAGAAAGAAAAATGAGACAACAATTTTCTGTTTGAGCAAGTTTCCTTGCTGAAATTAAATTAAATGAAAAACTAGGAATGCAAAGCACATCATGTAAAGTGATATCCTATGAGATTTTGATAGTCCCAACGTGAGTGACTGGGACATTTTTTCCATTTGGTAATCCTACACAATAAACACTTTAGCTTGAATGGAAGTGAAAAATGAGGTAGAACAGATCATGTGATCTGTTGCCCCAGTGTCGAGAATCCAAGGAATTTCAAAAATGGTTCATTGATCATAGTGATAAGTGGTTAGGCTTAATGGTATACCAGATATCTTGTCATTAAAATCAGCAGGTGGTAGAGGATTAACTGGTGTCTGGGAGTTGTTTGGTGAGAATAGAAGTTGTTGAGGACTTGGAACTAGTTTGATGAGTGCTATCAACTGAGAATATTGCTCCTCACTTAAGAATATTTGGCCCTTGTTCTTCACTACTTCCTGACTAGATGGTGTTGTTGAAGAGACCATGTTAACAACAGCCTTTCCCTTATCATTAAATCTCTGTCCCTGTGGATATCCATTTAGCTTATAGCACCTATCTGCTGAGTGTCCCGGCATCTGGAAATAAGAGCATGGTGACTTGGGATTTTCCTTGAAGCACCTATCAAGAGAATGACCTGGAATCTTGCAATGAGTGCAATAGTATCGATCCTTCTTCTGTGAGGGGGAACTTTGGTTTCCTGTCTCTCTATAGTTCATTCTACTGAAAAGTGCCATGGAATCAGAATTGACAGGGCTAGGATTTGATATCTCTCGCCTCTTCTCCTCTTGTTGAAGTAGAGAATATACCTCATTCAAACTAGGGAATGGTTTGATCAGTAAAATCTGGGCTTTAATTTCTTTATAGGAATCATTCAACCCCATCAAAAATTTCATGACCCAATCTCTCTGCTGGTTTTCAACAACAATCTTCATTCCCCCACAAGTGCAATTAGGAATATTCTCATAATTTAATAGCTCATCCAAAAGGATTTTGAGCTTGGAATAATAAATACTCACAGAATCTTGGCTTTGCATCAGAGTTGTGATATTCTTCTTAACTTCAAAAAGACGTGGAGCATTTTGTTGGGAAAACCTTTGTTCAAGGTCTAGCCAAAGGAGGTGAGCAGTCTCAGCATAGATAGTACTGCTCTTAATGTCGATTGCCATGGCATTTTGCATCCAAGTTATGACAATGTCATTACACCTTAACCAATGTTCCATCAGAGGCTCATTGGGATCGCCTGGTTCGCACAGGGAACCATCAATGAATCTCTATTTGTTCTTGATCCTTAATGCCCTCTTCATTGAATGGGCCCAAGAGTAGTAATTGCTTGAATCCAAGACATGAGTGACCAGCATAAGATTTCCTCCATCATTGTTCCCTATATAATAAAGGCTGCTGGGATTTGTTGGATCATGAGGAAGAACAGTTGAATTCCTTTCCTCTGTTGGTTGAGTATTCTGGATTTGGTTTGGATTAGCATTTGTGTTTGCTGAATTAGATTCTTCCATTTAGGCTCTGATACCATGTAAAATTTTGAAATATAAGAGATATAAACGAATTTGATTGAAGCTGAAATTATGTATTCATTACTTCACAGAAGAATTCGATTATTTTACATTGAGCAACAAAGAAAATATATGCAGCAATGAATGGAATCTTTCCTAACAAAACTGGCTAACTAACACGTGAAGGAAGAACCAATAAAACAATACAATTCTGTGCAAAAATAACTGCCTAACAAATCAGCTTCTAGATCATTCTTCTGCCACATCCTTGTCACTGATTCCAGCTTGGTTATCTTCTTGCTGACTGTGTAAGTGACTCATCAGGTTGGAATCCGGCATCTACAATACTTTTTAACTACACATTTTCCAAAAAAAAAAAAAAATACTATTNGAAGGCAGTTGAACAACGAGAAGTATTGACAATAGTTAGAGATGGCAGTTCCATGACAAATGAGGCACCATGAAGAAAATGGGTAGCAGTTCCAAGCGGTTTGTCACACGGAAGTCGTTATGGGAGCATAAAAGGAAAGAATAGACATAGAGGAAAGGACTCCGAATCAAACACTCTCAAATAGAGAATATGTAATTTCAATTTCTTAGCTTAACTTTAATTATCCTTCTTTCAGTACTCGTGTGCTTGCATCCCTTAGAGGCATTTTGTTTAGTTCCAATTGTAACTCTCATCAATAAAGTACCCCTTTTTGGGACTTTGTCTCAAGAGGTTTGACTCTTACACAATCGTCTGAATTTCGTTTTAATTGTTAGCGACTACCCGCGCGAAATAGATTCAAACATGGACTAAGTCATGATTTGCATTCTATGTTTGCATTCTATGTTTGCATTCTATGTTGAGGTCAAGTGTAGTCAAAGTTACATAGACAAGAATATATTCACGATACTAACGAGAGGAAAATGAAGCAAATGGAGAACTTCTGCTGGCATATATGCAAACTTTATTTTTTATTACATATTATTCTTGTTGAGATGCACTTAACAAGGATGAAAAAGGAAGACAAGAAGAAGATTATACGTATGTTACACTATACGTTTAGCAATTATATTGTCGAAGTAGTGGTATTCTTCATAAGCAGTTACACCGCAGCTACTGTAATAGGACTTCTTACTTGATGAATCCCATCACTCCAAGTATACCAACCAACTGCAAAAACACTTTTCTTGGCAGTACTTTGAGCTGTAATCGTAATGCTAAAGCTTTGCTTTTCTCCAGTCGCACTAAAATATAGAGCAGTTGGAGAAATCTGAACGGAGTAACCTTGTGGGGGATTTATTCTTACAGAGTACGAAGAGTTTGTCGTGCCAACATTTGTAACTGTTCTCTTGACAGTCCTGGATCCTTTGAGGTATGCTATTGAAATTGACGGATAGTTAAGATCACTTGCTGAGGGTATATTTTGAGGGCAGTTAAAAGATGGATCTAGTACATTGCCAGTGCTACTGCAGAGAAATAGAAGATAGTCGTCGTAAGAAGCATCATAAACAAGTCCGGGATCAGCAGCTTTCGATGGCTGGATGTGACCCGCCCCATACTCGAATGGAGTTGCAATATTTCCTAGTGAGTCTGTTATTTGTGTGCCCATATTGTTGGTTATTTTTGCTACAAGAAGACGAAAAGGAACTTATTAGACCGAACAAAATTTTATAAATGATTGGAGGCATTTTGGAGTAGACGAGTAAGTATAGATACCCGTGGTCATGATAGCTGATCTTATAGCAGGACTACTCCAATCAGGATGTATGGCCTTAAGAAGTGCAGCTACGGCTGCAACGTGAGGGCAAGACATGGATGTCCCGGAATCAATATGGTATTTAACGACTCGATTATCAGCAGGCACGTTTAGGGGAGAAGACGCTTCACTCCAAGCTGCAAGTATATTTAGTCCTGGAGCAGTGATATCTGGCTGCACAATGACAGATAAAGAAACTGAACTAAGCAAGCTAGACTGTTACTCATAATCAAACTTATATTCATTAGTTTGGACTGTTATTATTACCTTTAGAATATTAGGTTCGATGAAATTGGGACCCCTCGAGGTAAAAGGAGCCATGAATGGAGCTGGTTTAGTGCCTATTACGGTCTTCGGTTGAATCAACGTGACATTTGGATTCTGATTAGTTTCAATGTAATTGTAGATGTCGATTTTATCAGAATAAACAACTGTTGCCGGAATCAAATACGGCCTACCCAGTACTCCTTGTCCCTGGTAGCTATTTCCTAGCACAGTTGCTTTACCGCCTGCTCTTTGCACTTCTAATGACTCAAAAAGATCGCCTGTCCAGCAGAAGACAGCTTTCCCCCTTACTAATGCTGGCGAAAGAGTACCGGGTAGGCATAATCTGAAAAAACATCAGGTAGAAAATAATAAGAAAATTTCAAAAATAATCTGAAGTGTATGCAAAAATAAGTAGTGAAAAACATAAAAGTTTGAACCCGCTCGTGAGATTGGTGGTTGTCCCTGGAAGTTCAACATCTGCAGCATATACAAGGGGGTGCGTCCTATTCGTAAAAGGAGTTACTGATTGTCCCTGGTTTAAATTAATCAATCAAACAGGAAACTTTTGTTAGATATTGTAAAATTATATCTGGAAAATTTTCTCTCAACTACAATTATTTCCTTATTACCTCGATTATCATGTCATTTCCAAGCACAATTGGAGATGAAAAGACACGATCAATGCTACTTGCACCGACCGTAATGATCCAAGGGGCTACATTTGACACAGAATACGAGCTAGGTCCTGAATTCCCTGCACTACATGCTACTACAATATTTCGTTTCATTGCATGCAATGCGCCGATTGCAATCCCATCTTGTGTGTACGGCCTGCTAGTACTCCCACCGATGGAAACACTGATAACATTAACACCATCTGCGATGGCATCGTCAAATGCAGCAAGCATATCATCACCTAGGCACGTGTTTCCTTCTGCTGGAGTCTGACCAGGGACCGGCCAACATACTTTATAGATGGCTAAGCGCACTAGGGGGGCGCCACCAGAGGCAGTGCCACTGCCTAGTCCGCCAATAGCGGAAGCATTAGGAACTCTTCGGCCTCCAATGGTCGATGATGTGTGAGTTCCATGACCATTTTTATCCCTCGGCGATCTGAAGTCTAGACTAGTGTTGAGCCGGCCATAATAAGCCTCGTAACTTTTCAAATAGTAGCGAGCTCCAATTAATTTTCTGCATAATACAAAAACAGTAAAAATATATATATTAAATTAGAATATATGATATATTAACTTATTTTTCTTCTTTATTACTTGTTTTATTTTTTATTCTCAAAACTACCTTGTCAAACTTATCATAACTTAATTTTCATTATTTTCAATTTGTCTAGATGGTCAAGAAACCAAATAATCAAATATACGTCTAGTTCTTGCATTTTTTTTTCTTTTTTATTCAAGCAACTTGATTGAATATGAGAATATTTTTTTTTTTTTTATTTTCAATATTTACCTGTTACAATGAGATGAATTAAAAGCAACGCCACTCTCGCAAATTCCTTTCCATGAATGGGGAATAGGATCCATTCCATTATCGTAGAAACTTTCAGACTCTGGCCATACTCCTAATGAAAGATACAATACAAAATGCAAAATAAAAAATGGAAATAAGTTAGAGAACATAACGACATAAAATTTAGTTAGTTTACCGATTAAAATAAGTGTTAACAAGTTTGAATATTGAATGTTGATTGTGCTAAGAACGAGAGATGACATCGACCGATTGAAAATAAATTAAGAGGTTAAGACAGACTATGTGTCCCATCAATTAAAGTTGAATTTAGTTATTTTACATCTTTTAATAATGAATTGAAATTTACATAGTTGAAAATTTAATTATAGAAAATCTTCGTAAGTAATTGACCTATTGGCACATGCAGCAAATGATGTAATCCAGAAACAAGAATGCTTCAATTAATTTAGTTTGTCACACGCTTTATATCTAACCTTTTTTTTTTCTTGGGGGAGTGGGGGTGGAATTTTACAATAAACTCAAACTCAGGTTACTAAACTTGTATAATTTCGCTCTTACTAATTAAGTTTTGATCCCCATTTTTTTAATATTTATCATATATATATGCCTCAAATCCAAGTGAGACATGTGTCGAAATCTGGTTGGACAGTTTAAAAATTTAAAACAAAAACAGCCAATTATTTTTTGACAAATCAGTCAGTCTCCCCCTTCCGTGTTTTTCACCCTAGTTAAGTGGCTTTACCCATGTTTAAATGTAAGTTAAACTTATTTTTAAATTACTTATTTTTTGAAAAATAGTAAGAAAAAATAGTACCACTGTCCAAAACACCAACGATAACATCCTTCCCGTAATTTGCTTTACGCAATAAATCTTCCGCATTTGGAGGGTTTGGATCTCCAAGCCCTTCGAGTAAGTTAATAAAATTCCACGATCTTGTCGTGTGAAGCCTCAATATGGTTGGGTGGCTATGAAACACTGATATCACCCCATCCATCTCTGATCAAGGAAAAAAGATCATTAGCTTACGCGTATTGAGCAAGAAAGGTATAAAGAGGCCTATAAACCCTTACCTCAACTGTATGTCCTTTGCCAAAAAGGAAAAAAATGAGAGCAAGACATGTGGTGTGAACTCATGCCGAAAGGAATGTGAAGCGGAAATAGAAATATCGGCTTGAAACGGGAAATATTAAGCCTCTGTTTGGTCCTCATTTTTTAAACCATTTTTTCTCAACTCATTTTCTATCACATATTTCATGAGACCACAACTTTTATTAACTATTATCAAAATATACTAAAAATATAATTTCTATACGAGGTTTCCATGCATGAAAGGGGACGTGCATGCACGATAGTCTCTCTAATATGTATGTATTTTTGCAATAATTATTTTAATATTTTAATCACACCTGATATCTTTGCAGCTTCTTCTGGACTAAGCAATGCTGAGAAGCCATTGATGACGTTCCTGTAGCTGTAAATCAAACAGTCTTTAGCTTTCTCTTTGGAACCCTTGGCAGAGTGCAAATAAGAACGATGGAATTCTTCTATTTCTTGGAAAGTTTTCGTCCCGCTATGTTCTCCAAGGTACACGATATACACCTGCAAAATATCGAAATTGGTATAAATGAGCTTTCCTACGCTTTCACCTCTTAAATCTACTTGTCGTAAATTAAAATTTAAGCTTTGCCAAACATGCAAGTTCTTTAAATTAGAGGATCTAAACATTGAAGGAGACAAGTTACCTGCGGTGGTTGATCAGCACAAGAAGCTAAGAGTATATGGAAAATAAGAAGAAAGGGAATTATTCTGCAAAAGTAATTATTCATTTTTGCTTATAAAGTTCTGATTATTTTCGAGCTTATGCAGATAATTTTGCAACTCTTCTAGCTTAATTTATAGAGAGAAAGAAACCGAATTTCACTTTCTCAGATAGGTGTATCCTGGCAGTCATTTGGAACAAGAAAAAGTATAACTATTTTTAANCCGAATTTCACTTTCTCAGTTAGGTATATCCTGGCCGGCATTTGGAACAAGAAAAAGTATAACTATTTTTAATTCTTACGAACACATGGAGCGAGTCATCCATATTATTCAAATTCCAGAAAGCCCGTCGACATTTTCCTTAAATTGTCGTTTTTATATAAAATAATTATACAGTTTAGTGCCGATTCCTCGGATTTTATTCAAAAACTTCTTCTGCATATGTTGGCGAATGCACTGCAATTATTTCAATTATTCTTTGAGATTTGTATTATTCTATTTTAAAGTATAATCGAGAGCGCGCACACAAATCTTCATGAGTAGGTTTTAAGAATATTTGGAACGATCTAATCATGCTTAACAATCCTATATAGCAATTAGATCAACACGGAATTGAAGAATTGGACCAAAAACGTACCTCCCGCCATTGCTGTTGTCTCGTACACGCTCGAGGGTATTGGAGATGATTTATTGAGGGTCTTCTAAACCTTATCTCTCTCAAAACCGATGGTGTGTTTTCTAAATAGAGAAAGTAGGCTTCGGGACCCAAAACTTAGTTTTTCACTGCCTTTATACATGCTCCACCCATCATGGAGCCGTTCCAAACGTGTGCAGTTAATGGGAGAGGTTTTGAACATTATGGAATGGCAAAAAACCGTTCCTAAGTGATGGAATGAATGTGGACCATTTTCCGGGTTTGTTTCTCAAAACGGTTACGGGAGAGAAAAAACCAACATTCTCCCACTTGGTCCATATATTCCATCATTTACCATAACAAGAAATGCAATACATGAATCATGGCGATATGCCCTCTAAAACGAGTATTATCTTCCACGTATTACAATGTACTATGTCTCTCAATCCCATATAACTTAATGAATAAACCCTATGTTTATTCGAGGTCCAAACTGAATGATATTTCTCAATAATAAATAAATGAATGAATATACAAATATGTGCACAAAATCCAAATGAGAAAACATCAACTGAACAAGAGTTCTGTTGAAACAAT